CAAGAAACACCAGCGGCAGCAGCAGCAGCAGCAGCAGCAGCAGCTGCTGCTGCAGCAGAGGCGGACCTCGCGGCGTTTCGCAGTGCAGCATTTGAGGTATTTGTTTTAATTATTTTTTAATTTAATTTAATTTTTTTTGTTTTTGTTTGTTTTGCTGCAGCAGCCTTTCTGCTGTTATTTGTTTATTTTGTCTTCTCCCTTAGTTGTTTTATTTGTTTATATTATTTTATTTATTTGTTTTATTTATTTATTTGTTTATATTATTTTATTTATTTATTTGTTTTATTTATTTATTTGTTTATATTATTTTATTTGTTTATTTGTTTTATTTATTTTATGTATTTTATTTCTTTATTCTGTTTGTTTGTTTACTTTATTTGTTTTATTTATTTATTTTTTGCTGCATTTTATTATATTTTATTTGTCGTATTTATTTGTTTATTTCCATCAACTTATTTATTTTATTTATTTTTATTAATTTAATTTAATTTAATTTAATTTAATTAATTTAATTTATTTTTTCATTTGCATGCAGCCCGGGAAGATACCAGAGGAACCGCCTCCGCCTTCTCTCTGCCGCTGAAGACGAAGAGTAAAATAAATAAATAAATAAATAAATAAATAAATAAATAAATAAAATAAATAAAATAAATAAATTATATAAATATAAATGTTTTTTTAATTGGCGCAGTTTAATAGTACAGTCAAAACCAGTTGAAATAAACAAATACAAAAAAAAAGACAAAACAACAAATGCATGCAAGTTTTGTTGCTGCTGCTGCTGCAGCAGCACTTGCTGCAGCAGCAGCAGCAGCACTTGCTACAGCAGCAGCAGCAGCACTTGCTGCAGCTGCAGCGCAAGGGAAGGACAGTGCCTGAAGGGCCTTATTGGATTTCCTTTTTAATTTTTTGTTGTTTAAATATAAAATATATATGAAGCATAGACCCTAGCTGGGGTGTATCTGCAGCTCGATATCTTCTTCTGCTGCATCTTCTTGCTCATTATAAGACGTGAATTCTGTTTGTTCTTCTCCTGCATCAGCAGCATCAGCAGCAGCAGCAGCAGCAGCAACGCCTGCATCTGCAACAGCAGCAGCAGCAGCAGCAGCAGCAGCTTGACCTGCAGCAAAGCGCCAGACTTGTCTACACATTGGGCAATTCCCTTCTTCATCATTTCTTATTCCTTCTCTGTTTAGCCAAGCACCTGCATATACACCGCAAATACTCTCCTACAGCAACAATTAAAAAATAACATACAAATAAAAACAAACAAAACAACAAAAACAACATAAAATACAGAGACAACTCTAAGAAACGCTAAAAACAGAATTACGGTTTGCAGGCTTATTCACAAGGGTTTAGGGTTTGTGTTTATGCATATATATATATATATATAGCGAGAGAGAGAGAGAGAGAGAGAGAGATCCACGAGGGTTTAGGGTTTACATTTACATGTGTATGAGTGCATATGATTTGTAAGTAAGAGTACATTAGGGTTTAGGGTTTAGAGATTGTTTGTTGTCTATGGCTGGTACGGAGGCCTACGCATGTATGTCTTAAAGGTACGAGCGTGTACAAGAACTTACGTATACACTTAGGGTTTAGGGTTTAGGGTTTGTGGTTTGTGAGTATTTACCGATGCAGTGTAAATGGAAGATATGTCCGCAGGCGCCGAATGCTGGGGGGCAATTTTCTCCAGGGTTTTCGCAATTAGGGCAGGGAATTTCGAAGAAATTTTCACAAATAACGCAGTGCAAATCATTAGGGATGCCTTTCCATCGAATAACTCCAACTGTATGTACACCCGAAATCGCAATGGTTGGAGGCTGGAAAGCAGGCTTCATTGCCGCTCTTTTTGCAAAATAAACCGGCAAAATGACATTAAATACAATATTTCAATTATTTTAAGCCTTTATTTGCAAAAACACCCGCAAAAAATACTCAAATACCATATGCAGTCGTCCGTAGACAACAGAGCGGAGTGGATGCATGCATACTGATCTTTACTGCAAATAAAAAGAATTTATTTGAGGTTTAAATAAATTTAAATACAAAAATAAAAATTAATTGTAAACAAATGAAATAAACTACTAACAAATATGCAGAAATTTTGTTTATCACCGCATGCAGCCCCACTACACAATGCGGAGCCCGCTGCCGACTTCAATTCTTTTAAACAATTTATTATTTTTATTATCTTATTATTATTCTAATTATTACTATAACTATATCATTAATATTGTTATATTATTATTATCATTATTATATTCCTGCATTACTTTATTA